GAGAGAGAGAGAGAGAGAGAGAGAGAGAGAGAGAGAGAGAGAGAGAGAGAGAGAGAGGGAGGGAGGTAAGATCAAGTGAAGGGAGGAAAACATGACAATGGCCTGGAGTGACATTGATATGTGTTAAGCTAGTCATCTATGATTATGATGGTACTCCCTGGAGGTGGGCCTGACTTCGACGACATCCTCCCACTTCTTTTGCCATCGACGAATGGAATGCCACTGCTGTCCGCGACAGCGACCCCTTTCATCACAGAGCCCATGCATGGTGACAGGTTTGGCTGCCCAGGCTCGCCGGTTCCTCCTCCACCCAGCCTCCCCTGCAAAGAGCTTGAAGCCTCACTCACAGACCCAACTGCGAGCCCGATCATCGTTTCGTCTGTTCGCCTTCTCCCATTGCTATTGGTTTGCCAATCTGCTCCCGGAAACTGGCAGCCCGTCGTAGCAGGGAACCCCTGAACAAGTTTTGGCCATCGTTGAGTAGCTGCGGCATAAGCAGCCGCGGGGGTTTCCCAGAACGCCAAGGAATTCGCGGAAGATGTCCGGAGACTCGGAGCCACTGCTGCGGGATAAAATGTTGTGCTTCCCTCAGCGCCGGCAACTGGTCGAATGCCTTGAACGAACCGAGTAATCGGAGCACCATATACCAACCCGTCGGCACCCGACCGGCTAGAGGTACCAAGGGTAGCGCCGGAGACGACTGGCGCTTCAGGTCCGGAACCAGCAATCGTACCCGAATGGAACCTGGAAAGCAGTGGCTGTACCGCCTGGTCTAGCCCGGCCTCTCTCAGACGACAAGCTTCTTGAAGATTCTGAAAAGAAGAGAAGCAGTGAAGGTTGGCGGATGGACTGCTATTTACACCCTCCCTTATGCCGCCGCCAATCAGTGTGCTACTAAGGACGGTAGCGGAGGGAGCTGGTGGGGCAATGGACAAGCTCGTGGCGGGGAGCACAGTCGCAGCAGCCGGGCATGGTCTGAAGTTAGCAGGAAAGGCAGCAGCAATGGACCCCCCCCCGCCAACTGCATCCTTCCTCATTTCCCCGGCGATTTCTGAAACTCTCCTCTGAGCCATGAGAATGACAGTCTCTGGCACAACGGAATACTGACCTTTCTGTGATGTCGCATGGCTGAAGCTCGACACATTGGACCAAGCCTGTTGGATTTCATTCTGTCTTCTCTCCTCCCCCTTCTGGCCAGCACCTGCACCAAGCTTGTCTGCATGCAGCATTGGGGATCGGATCTCTGGGGAGATGCTGTCCCCACAACTCATGCCTGGCCCAGTTGACACCGAATCTTCTATGACCTGCACCTCACCACAAGCACACCAAACATTCACCAAAAAGTAGTCATCTCTCTCTCTCTCTCTCTCTCTCTCTCTCTCTCTCTCTCTCTCTCTCTCTCTCTCTCTCTCTCCCCCTCTCTCTCTGTGTGTGTGTGTGTGTGTGTGTGTAGATGTGTATAAGAGACAGACGGTACGGGGACCAATCTCGTACCGGTTCTCTGTTGCTGTACTCGTACTCAGTGTGACTTGCTGTTTCGACATTCGGAATCCAAGACTTCGACTTTGTGCCTTGCCACTGTGTCTGCATCTGATCCTCAGTCCGAGTCCGTCGTGTCAAGTGAGTGAGTGTGTGTGTGTGCTCTCACTCTCTCCCTCTCTCTCCTCTCCCTCGGCTCACCCTCAGCCTCACGCTCGTAACACTCAAGGTCAGGATCGCGTCAGTGACCTTTTGAGCCTCCTGAGGATCATGCCACCTTCCTCCACCAGCTTGAGGAAGTCATCCAACTTTTGCCTGGCTGCCCAAGCGCGAAAGTCATGACCGTATCCCTGTAGCTGCACTAACCCACTCAACCATCTTGCTGCACTACCATCTAGATAGGAGGCAACCACAAGTACTTCCTCGTGTGGCAAGGTCAACTTACACTTAACATATACCGGCACCGCCCTCAACCATGTGTCGAGATCTTCGCCCCTCTTATCCCCTAAAAAGGGTTTAGGAGCAGCGATTGTCGTTTTCGGTACCCATTGTGTTTGTCCCTGCATTTGTCCCACACTTGGTTGCCTCTGGGGAACAGGCTGCTGCACCTGTTGCTGCTGGGGCTGTGTCCCCTGCGGCTGCACAGGTTGCGGGACAACAGATTGCCCACTGATGGCAGCCTGCGACGGAGGTTGGGATAACACTGTCTGTACAGGAATTTGGACACTAGGTCCTGCTGATAACCCTCCTGATAGCGGCATGCCCAGGAAAACGACAGCGACCGATGCTGGGGCTACATATGGGGATACCCCAGTAACCGGTGGGACAGGAGGCGGAGGATGTGCCACGGGCCAGCCACCAGGCCCTGACGGTAATGGAGCCGCCTGCAATCATGCAACCAGCCAGGCTAGACTCTGCTGAATGTCTTGGAGGATGGCAGTCCGATGGTCCTGCGTCTCTATGACTCCTAACAGGGCCGTCCAAACTACCCTCACATCCACATTCATATTGGTCAGATCCATTTCCTCTAACTGCCTAACATCCGCTTCTCTTCGCTGCATCCTGGCTACTCTTCTAATCATTCTCTCTTTCTCTGCCTTTGTATCCCCTAAAGCCTTCTGTAGCTGTGCCTCTTGCAGGGCAGCCTGCTGTATGGCGATCTCCTCGGGTGACAACACATTTGACTGGCTTGCCATTACNCCCTCTCTCTCTGTGTGTGTGTGTGTGTGTGTGTGTGTGTGTGTGTGTGTGTGTGTGTGTGTGTGTGTGTGTGTGTGATACAGCACGACCTTGCAGGGTGTGCCGATGGGGATGGTAGTGAGGCAATGGGTAATGGGTGAAGGGTGGTGGCGGGCAGCACCTCTCTCTGTGTGTGTGTGTGTGTGTGTGTGTGTGCGTGTGTGTGTTGCACGCACGCATGACAGGTGACATGTGTGTTGTTAAAGCACCCCAAATTCTCTCTCTCATTTCCTCCACAAATCATAACAAACCAACCATAACAAAAAAGTATAGATATTAGGTAGACATAATAATAGAAAATGCAACGTTGGGCCACGTTTGTGTTGTTCAGCGTCAAGTGCCCACACACCCGTCTGCCGCCAAAGCGGTACACTTGCACATATACATATATACGTGTGTGTGTGTGTGTGTGTGTGTGTGTGTGTGTGTGTGTGTGTGTGTTGTGTGTGTGTGCATGTGTGTGTGTGCGTGTGTGTGTGCTGGGAGATGGGCATCGGGCGGGTGGCAGTGGGTGGCACCCCTCTCTCTCTCTCTCTCTCTCTCTCTCTCTCTCTCTCTCTCTCTCTCTCTGTGGTTAAAGTGTGGGCACCGGTGGCAAGAAAAGGTTCGAACATTGCCTTGCACGACTAGGGAAATGAATGAAGGGAAAGGCTTTCGGTTTAAGTCCTATTGTGAGTATGCTCTTAAAAGCTAGGCTACTTGGCTCGCCTGGCCAAAACCTCTACAGACTGTCGGATCACACCCCATCACAAGCCCGCAAAACACCCATGAAAGAAAGAAAGGTCTGTCACAGCCAAAAAATACACTCCAGAATCCAGACTCCAGACATATACGTACATATATATATCGTCTATTTTTTTATTTTTTTGGCCCGGCCTGGCAAGTGATCCCGGGCGCTATTTTCAGGTGAAGACGGTAGGGCAAGGGGCAACATGCAATTACCTCCCTCCACCAAGAGAGGTAACCTGCCTTCACCAGGAAAGGTAGATAGCCTGTATGGCCTTTGGAGTAGTGGCGGATGGGTTGTGACAGATGAAAGAATTTTTTAAGAGAAGAATCTAGTGCAGTTATAACTTATTAAATTATATAAATTATACTCATTTTTTTTTTATATTAAAAAAAAAGAACTTCGATCATTTCTCGATTCATGCGTATCTTCGTTGAGCAGGGGCTATGTTGTCCTTCGGGACATCCGTTAAAAGTTAGAAGTTAAAACAGTTTTTTATCTTTGCAATTGCTCACTTTCTTGGTAAACTAGAAGCAGCAACTTATTACCAAAAAATCACTATGCATAGCTTTCATTTGGAATTGAATCTCATGCATGATATGCATGATATGTACCAATTTTCGGGCGCCGCAGGTGGTCAGTGGGGATTGAACTCGTGACCTCGTGAATGCCACTTGCACACCGTTCGGGTGGGGTTTCAAGCGATGTGGATGAATGGCACAACCATGGAACTGATAGAGCCAATCAGGTACTACGTCCAGCAAAGCAGCCCGCCATGATCACGAGCACGCATGGGGAGGGCCAGATAGGGCAAGAACTGGGCTTTTTTGTACCCAAACACCGGGGGCGCGCAAAGCGCGCCTCTGCCATGATCATGATTACGCACACGCGTGGGGAGGGCCTACATAGGGCAAGACGCGGGCCTTTTGTCCCCAAACAACGAAGCGCGCCCTCGCCATGATCATGATTACGCGCACGCGCGGGGAGGGCCACATAGGGCAGGAAATTGGCTTTTTGTCCCCAAACACAGGGGACACGCTTTGCGCGCCCCCCCATGCCATGATTACGCGCATCCATTGGGAGGAGCAGACGGGGCAAGAATTGGCTTTTTTGTGCTCAAACACCAGCACGCCCCCGCCATTATTACGCTTCATATTGCAGGGAGGGCCAGATACTCTCTCTCTCCCCCCCTCAAAGACGGAAAGATGCCTTGCCACATTGTACAAAAGTGTACAATGTGGCACTCACCTCAATACAGCCTTTGGTCCCACCGTCCCAGTTCTCCGTGCAGCCAAACGTGAGGCACGCCATATCCTGACCAACTCCCATGGATACAGTAATCGTAGGGCTGAACGCGCAGGGAGCGGACATACATGTGAGAAGGGTACAAGAGGGGAGAGAGCAAAGCTCAGAGTCCTCAAAACTGAGTCAGAAATGTGGCTAGCTCCCTAGCTGAATGGCACAAGCATGTAATAACTGTTAATAAAACAGATCATGAGTTCAAATCCTCAGACAATCAGACGTTTACAGCACTGCTTCAGAAAAAAAAAAAAAAAAAATAGCTCGCAAAAATATTGTCTGAGAACGACAAGCAAGCATGCAAGAAAATGTCCTTCGAGACATCCGTTAAAATTGGAAGGATAAAAATAAAATAAAATAAAATAAAATGGAAGGATACAGAGAAGGAAGATTAACACGGCCCCTGTGAAAAGCTGAGACGCACAAAATCGAGAAACAGTGGAAAAAAAAAAAGAAAAAAAAAAGGCCAAAGAGCTAGGCTACCAGCCAGGCTGCCCGGGTCACCCTTTTTTTCCGAGGCAGCCAAGTGGTGCAAGGACCAGGGAAGGTGTCCCAGCAAAACAAAAAAGAAAAAAAAGAAAAAAAAGAAGAAACACCAAAAATGATGTCTCGAAATTGTTTCATGCAGAAAAATAAACTGAACACTTTTGAAACATCTGAAAAAAAAACTATGTCATGCAGAAAAATAAACTGGACACTTTTGATTCCAGTTTTGAAACATCTGAAAAAAAAACTACGTCGTGCAGAAAAATAAACTGAACACTTTTTGCCTCAGGGTCACATCGAAATCCGTTGTGCGAGGATCTGGGTCCTCGGCAGGCCTAAGGGGCCCCGGTTGCAATGGTGCCCGCCCTAAGTGACGGCGGGCCTAACATATTACAAGAGGCCTTTGACTGTCAATTTCATATTTGGGGTACAGGCGGTTGCGACGCGCCAGTTGGTTGAGAGAAACACAGGCTGAGCAACCAAGACATTTCCACGGCCTTCTGGGCCTTCCCAAAGCATGCAGGCCCTGGACGAGAAACGCAGCCCCATACACTGACAGTTGGGAGGCCCAACCAACAGAGGCCCAGTAGCTGCAAAGTAGCACGCAGCATCCTGGGGCCTACCGGAAGCTTCTGGGCCCAGGCCAAGTCCTGCCAGGCCGCAAGCAGGCAGGCTCTTTCCATATAGGAAAGAGCTCGCCACTCTCAGCTCATTCAGGCACTCGCATGCTCGCGGCAGCGCTGCTGGAGCAAATGCTCGTGGGCTGCTGCTGGCGCTGAGAGGCGAGGTGCAGCACGTGTGGTCGTGCAGGGAAGCAGGGCGCTGCTGAGGGCAGCGCCATAGCCCAGCCACCATAGCTGGTGGGCTTGGACTACAGTGAGGCGCATGAGTGGTCTTCGGGTGTAAGGGAGGAGGACGTGGGTGTAAAGTCAGGGAAGGGCGAAGGATGATGATGATGATGATGTGAGGGCACATACCTTGTATTGGCGATGGTCTGCATTTGGGTGACATCTTCAAGTACTTCGGGTTGCCGCTGAATCGCGCTGATGTCAACAGTTGCATTGTCAATTAGTACGCTGATCGTAGCTGTGTAGGAGTAGGCTGGGCGCTGAGCGCCGAGTAGGAGTGTGAAGGGACTGGACTCTTGTGTTGTTGGCGGAGAGAGAAAACTCTCCTTGACATTGGTTTTCAGTACTACGAACCTCCCTTGGTGTATTATTGGTGCAATGCTGCTCTCTGGACACGGTGTGACTATGTGGTTTTCAATGTGATGGTGTAATCTGGAATTGTCATCTCGCTGTTGCTCATTTTCCTTGCAGTTGCCAAATTAACAAAAAATTGAAAAAAAAAAAAAAACATTTTTCTTTTTTGTTGGCCCAGCCGGGCAAGTGGTCCCGGGCCACTCGGGTAGCCTAGCCAAAAAGTGATTAGAATTCATTAAATGAAACTGGCTTGCCAGAGGTGCTGGGTGATGAGCAAAGACTACACGACGAAAAGAACAAAGAAACAAAACCTGAAAATGCTTAGAAAAGGCTAGGATCTGCCTCTTAGAAAAACCGAAAGAGAGGGGCGGGGGGGGAGGGATGCTTAGAGGTGTATGGATGGTATGCTCCTCACAATTGTTGGATCGCGGCTTCCCAGAGCTGAAGATGCACTCTCGCCAAAACCAACACCACATGGTCCAGTTACCTTAGTCGATGTTGTTGTCGTCGTAATTGTTGGAGATCGCACAAGAGTCCATCGATCCTGATATTCCCCGGCAGAGGCATGGAGGCCTCCTGCACAAAGCATGCGCACGGAAAGAGAGAAAACACAGGAAAGATAAGCAGGCAGGCACAGGGGAAGTGAAAACACAAAAAAGATACGCCGCGGATCATCCGGCGGATGTATGTTAGAGCAATCCTGGCACATGTAAATTCAGCGATACTCCTTAGAGGCTTTTAGAACACAGCATCCTGAGTATTACATAGGGTGGTGTGTCCTTACATGGGCAGCCTTACATGTTAAGGGCCTTGCTCCAATGCTCTCCAAATGTGCAAAAAGAGAACGAATCGTCCGCTAGAACATGGAAAGATACACTGCCAATTTTTTTTTGTCGTTTGTGCATGTGGAGAAAGTACTGGACTGAGGCCCTCATACTCAACAAGATCTCCACAAAATTCTGATGAAATCCTTTGGGACATCCGTTAAAATTGGAACGATACAGAGAAGATTAGCCTGCGCTCTGCGCACACAACATAAAAAAAAAATCTGATGAAGAATAATCTGAATAAAAAAGGCAAATGCGCACATGTTTTGTACTCATGAACTGATCCATGTGAGGCCAGGCCGACGCCAGGCCGACCTGAACCCGGTTCGAACTGAGGCAAGCTGCTGCTTGTCTGTTTTCTCTGTTTCGTTTTTTTTTTTTGTTTTTCTTTTGTTGTTTTTTTGGGTAATAAAAGCATACTTCAGTAGCGAAGGAAACGATGTCTGGGCAATATCCCTTGTAATGCTGTTAAGAATCGACTTCCCCCTCCCCCCACAAAACAAAGAAAGAAAGAAAAAGAATTGACTTTTCCTGAGCCCCTTCTACTACTAATCTCCCTCCATTCAACGGCTCGAAAAAAAGAACAAAAAACAAAACAATGGGCAAGTCATCATCCTTCTCCCGAATACAACGTACGGTCATTATAGCTGTATTTTAGACTGAAAGATACCCCTAATACAGCTATACTGACCGAACATTGTATTCGGGGGAAGAAGGTAGCGTCATATACACACAACAGCAACAGGAGAGCTTCCCCCTTCACTAGACACAGCGATGCCGTAGTCCTTACATAGCGTCATATACACACAACAGCAACAGAAGAATGAGTGCCAAGCACTATTACAACGGTGCAGACAAGGGGAAGTGAGCTGTTTTCTCTGTTATGTTTCATTGTTTCTTCTTTTTTTTCTTCTTTTTTGGGACCGTCTGTTTCCGGTTTCCACATTGTATACACACACCCCCCTTCAGGGAGGAGGTCCAGGAGGCAGTTGATGTGCAGGATCTCTTTCTCTTTCTCATTTCCTAAAAATACAACAACACAACGAAAATCTGTCGTGCAACACTGCGCCACCATGCCATGACAACGTCAAGGTCCCAGGAGGAGGGGAATGAGGACGAAGCAATAGCAGAGGTGGAGGAGGTGGTGGAGTAGGTCCAGGTGCTTGAGGAGGAGGAGGACCTCTCTTTCTCTCTCTCCTCTCGCACCGAGTTCACCTTTGGCATACAGAGCGAGCGAGGGAGCGAGAGACCGAGAGNAGCAGAGGTGGAGGAGGTGGTGGAGTAGGTCCAGGTGCTTGAGGAGGAGGAGGACCTCTCTTTCTCTCTCTCCTCTCGCACCGAGTTCACCTTTGAAAAAAAAAAAAAAAAAGGAAAAAAAAAAAAAAAAAAAAAAAAGAGAGAGAGAGGCACAGAGGCAGAGAGAGAGAGAGAGAGAGAGAGAGAGAGAGAGAGAGAGAGAGAGAGAAAGAGAGAGAGAGAGAAGGGGGGGCAGAAGGGGGGGGGGGGGGGCATTCACACACATGCATAAGGGATTGCTGTTCCAAATTCTTACAGATGGAGCATAACTGAGGCTCTGACATTCAGGCCAACTAGACCGCGAAGAGCATGCATCTGCACACACACGAAGATGACTCGCAAACACGTCCAGCTACCAGAGGGGCTGTTACCTGCCAATAGATGGAGTCACCAGGGACAGCTACTGGGGGTGAACGGGGTTTTTATTCCTCCCCCCCCCCAGTAGAGGTCGCAGGTTTTTCCCAAAACAAAAGGAAAACAAAAAAAAAGACTTGCGAACACGACGTGGAAAGTTTGAAGAAACCCACCGATAGAGAGGGAGAGAAGATTCTCCGTATGATCAATTCCTCCTGGTTCTGTGGCGGCTGGTCTTTCACAGGGCACAATCGCCAGTGTCATGCACTTTGTCGTTGAGAAAATCCCAAGGCCGCCTTGCTGGTGACGGCCTTCTCTCTGGCCAGTGGGCGGCGTCTGTTGTCCTGTCCTTCCGTTGCTCTGACGGGTATTCAGACAGACATGTCATACCCCAAGGAAACGTAGAATGATAGCACCATCATGCCAGGTTCACAGCAAAAAGGCGCACACAACATGATGGGGCGAAAGCCCTTGTGTTAGCAATTCATATCGCAGCTGATAAATGAAGTCGACAATCACCCAAAAGAAGAAGAAGAACAAGGATCCGATCAAAAAAGAAAAAAACAAAGAACAAGAAGAAGAAGAAGTTGACGATCGTCATGCAGAGAACAAAAAAAGTTTTTTTTTTTTTTTTTTTTAAGACAGAAATGAAATGCAAGCATTGCAAGGCTAAGATGTGATGCGCTTAATGGGTGGTGGTGCACGGCCGTTCTTAGTTGGCGGAGTGACTCTCATCTGGTTCATTCCATATACATATATATATTGTCACATAACTATAACCAAAAGAGCGCAATTTGCGAAACAAACGGCAAAAAAAAAAAAAAAAAAAAAACAAGACAAACATGAAGGGCACAGTGAAACCATTCATTTTTCTCATTCTTCTTTCGACTCCTCTTTCACCAAGCCTCTCACGTACAAGGCTCGCCACGTTGATGAAGTTGAGCGCGAGCTGCCCCCATCCCCGTGTGCCATAACAGCCCACTTGTACGCTGTAAGAAAGAGGCAGCGCATTGAGCATGCCCAGCATACACCCCCGACAAATGGCATGTCGATTGCAGGCCAAAATGAAAGAAGAACGGTCACGACAAAAGAGCATGCATTCAGTATAGCGCCCATGGCCGCAAAATGGACATATAGTGTCCGGATGCAGAGGGTGCCTGCAGTCAGGAATGGTGGGAGAGTCCTCTGCACACATGGATGCAGAAACCATGTCATTGTAGTGACTGTGACAGAGACGATGGCGGCTACAGCCGAGTGTAACAGTGTTTGCAGCTGTGCAAAGGAGAAGGTAGCAGAGTGTTGGTACATTGTCTTGCTGCAGCACGGGATGCAGAGGGTACCTGCAGTCAGGAATGGTGGGAGAGTCCTCTGCACACATGGATGCAGAAACCATGTAATTGTAGTGACTGTGACAGAGACGATGGCAGCCACAGCCGAGTGTAACAGTGTTTGCAGCTGTGCAAAGGAGAAGGTAGCAGAGTGTTGGTACATTGTCTTGCTGCAGCACGGGGCAAGAGGAATGATCTTCAACATAAAAGAGATTGCGGACAGTTTTTTGTGGCAAGAAAACAGCATCATTTTGTAAGAAATCAGTGACATCAATCATGGCATGGACCATGGTGCCGTTGTCCCACAGCTCCCAGTGGTCAGAGGCATGTACAATGGCCATGTAATGGCCAGGGCCGTGCACAATGCAGGCAGAGATGTGGGATGGAGGATTAAATCACTCACCTGCTCGAGCATTGCGTAGTTCAAGTTGACGCTACTTGTAGGACAGCAATGGTAAAGCCTCCGTTGCTGGTATAATTACAATCCTCTGGCTGTCACTGGGGAAGATCAGCATCAAGATGAAGGGCGATTGCAAGGAAGTCTGATGGTGTATAAAACGGGCGATGGAGAATGTGAAGACAGATATTAGTTGCTGTCAGACCACAGAGATTGGTGAGGTTCTCAGTGGTTTGTTGGATGCTGGCCAACAATCTGCAGATCACCCAGATGGTGTTGCAAGCCCAAACTGTGTTGGGTTGTTCGCCGGTCAGTCATTTGCAGATCACCCATGTGGTCTGCGCGCGGCGGAGCACAAAATTGTAGTTCATCCGAACAATGCTGATCAGCCATTTGCAGATCCCCCATGTGGTCTACGCCTTGTGGGGTCAACTGCAATCTGGGCAGATCATGTTCCAATCCCTCAACGTTTAGAGCTGCATCCTGAGTAGGGACTATACCTGGAGTCGGGAGTGTATTCTGGGCAGCGGCTGCATCCTGAGTAGGCACTGGTGGCTGCCTGAAGGCAGGTGGACTGTCGCAGAAGCTGCCCCCTGCTGTGCTTGATGCTACTCCGATGGATCTATCGATGATAGTTGCATGTGAAGTGGTGTGCAGTGGAGCGAGGCCTTTAGATACGTATGTACCTACGCTACCAGAGTGGCCCGGGACCACTTGCCTGGCCGGGCCAAAATTTTTTTATTTTTTTTTTTTCTTTTCTAATTTGGTACAGAATTTCGATGCGACTCTGAGGCAAAAGTTGTTCCGTTTATTTTTGTGCATACCATAATTTTGTTTTTCAGGATTTTTATCATTTTTTATTTTTATTTTTTTTGGCTGGGACCTTCTTTGGTCCTTGCACGGCCGGGGCCGCCCGGGCAATCAAGGTGACCTGGGTGGCCCGGGTGGTAGCTTAGGTATGTACGCACAAGCAGGAAGACGGACAGGTCGGGCACACACATCCCGGCAACGGGTGATAGTCGCATTCCGTTTATCACGGACCAATCACACTCACCAGCACCAGTACTTTGTCTTTCGTTGCATCGCCCCGGAACTCTGCATCCAAGACCTTTTCCAGAAGCCCAACTCTCTTTCGAATGAAGTCGACCATCTTTCGCTGCTCGTACGGATCTAACACATTTGCTGTGACGTTGGCGCCCTGTTCCCCAAATACATTGGCAGCTTGGGCACCAGCTTTGACTCCATCTGGGTCCTGTGAGGGACCACCGCCATTGAGAACACGCGGTTGAGGGGAGGTCGGCAAGCACCGGTCGCCCTGCAGTCCGGCAGCAGCAACTGCTGTGCCGGCACTTGCTTCACCGCCTTGTAGCAACGCTCCTCCCTCTCCACACCTAGCATAACCGATGCTTCCATTCATCGCCTGGACCGCATTAATGACACCTGAGCTCGAGGCCATCGCCATCCCTCCGTTGTCAGGTGATGGATTCATGCCCATGCCCGCCAAATTACGCGGCGGCAAATGAAGCTCTGCTCGGAGGGGAGCTTGCAAATTTAGTCGATCGTCACAGAGGATGTTACACCATCTACCATATCCATGGATTAGAATTCCCCTGAGCAGCTTTCGGTCTTGCTCTTCCTTCCAAATTCTCGTCTTGTTCAGCGCAGCAAGTACCTTTCCCCCTCTGTCTGTTTGGAACATGGGCATAGAAGGGTTCGCCGACATCGCAATAACCTGACCGATCATCGACAAGAAAATCGCCAGGTAATGGTTCAGCATGGGCAACTGCATAGACAATACAAGGACCCTCTTACATCATGGACCGCTTTCTGAAGGGCTATAAAAGGCATGGCCAAAACTGGGGTCCTTGTCCTTCGGGACATATGTTAAAATTGGAACGATACAGAGAAGGAAGATTAGCATGGCCCCTGCACAAGGACAACATGCATAAATTGAGAAATTGTTTTTTTTTTTTAAATATGAAATGATGAAAGAAAAAAAAACTGGGGTCCTTCTTGACGATCCTTCTGTGTCTTCAAGCCGCCTTTTTTATTTTTTATTTTTTTTTTGTCTTCTTCAAGCCGGGTTATGTTAAAGTTAGTTATACAAAATACATCTTTCGCACTACTGTCTTCACCCATAGAGCGCCCTTCTTCAAGCCGGGTTATGTTAAAGTTAGTTAAACAAAATACATCTTTCGCACTACTGTCTTCACCCATAGAGCGCCCGCCCAGTGATTATCGCTGCATCTGGACTGAAAGTTGCCCCAAATACGGCTATAATGACTGGGCGTCCTCAGGAACCTTTGCCTGTCTGCGGGTGTAAACAGCAACTACTGCCACGCCTGACCTGTGCCAGAGTTTTGTCAGACTGATTTCAAGCCCTGTTTTTTTCGCGCACAACCACAGCGAAATTGCGCGACATGCAGTCTTCTGTTCACCCCTGGACCAAGCCTATCTGGGGTGGGCCAGTCACTACGTGAAGAACAGCGGCCCCCTCCAGAGGCAGTACCGGTCGTCCGATCATCCTTTCACAAACTTTTTTTCCTTCTTTTTTTTGCCTCCTTTCCCGACCTGGCTTGCTGCCACATGCCAACAAAACGATCCGGTCCACGGGCAATTTCCTCCCCCCACCTTTTGCCTGGGGCAGCCAGTCATTTTTGACTGGTAGGCCGAGTCCCCAACATCAACACAGCAGGCAGCCCGCCGCATTGGCTGGAACTGGGAACAAAATAGGCCGGAGACTTATTGGTGGTTTGACAACTTGGCTCCGAACAAAACAGGTCGGAGATTTGGTGGTTTGATTTCATTTTATTCTCAAGGGGGGTTTTCTGTCCTACTTTTTCAGTCGGCCAGATGTCAAAAACCTTGCTTTGTGAGTGCGACTTTTTGCCTTTAAGGCCTTGAGGTTTTAAGCCGCCAGTACAACGACCCTTCACGCAAACTTCCAGCTGCATAAACTGAGTCCACACTTCCAATCTACTGATGGATTGGAAGTGTGGACTCAGTTTATGCAGCTGCAGCCACTCTGTGGCGACTCTGCGCTGACTCTGCGCAAACTAGGTTCAACAAAATGGGGTCTGCGGCGACTCTGCACTGACTCTGCACTACTGGTTGGTTCAACTGTCAAAAGACTTGAAACAGACCGGTCTCGTGACATGGCTGACGTCCAGGGTCTAAACTACAAAGCACCATGATTTGTGAGCGCATACTCACAGTAGCACTTTCCATGTACAAGCCCCGCAGCCAGCAGTTTCATTATTCGAGAGTAAAAATTTCCGTTTCGACAAAAATAGGGTCTGCGCCGACTCTGCACTAACGGTTGGTTCAACTTTCAAAACAGACCAGTATCGTGGCATGGCCAATTTCCAGGGTCAAAAAGCTCCGCAGGTTTAAAGCAGCATGATTTGTCTCATCATGGTACCACTTTCTGGGATGCAAAAAAAAAGCTCATCTCAACAACACAAAGCGTTCTGTTGTGCGGACATGCCCTGAAGGCTGAAGCATTTGCAATATTGACATGGAAGAGCAAGGCCACAGTTGTGTTCTGTCTTACCTTGTCCCGAATGAGATGCAGGACCGCCAGTCGCACAAGTATGTCCCTGATCTGCAGTCCCTCTTTCGGAACTCCATCTACAGTGAGCGCGCAGAGAGACAGATTATTCACAAAGTGTAAATTAATTAACACGAAGTTGCTGGCTCACCAACTGGCCTATCTCAGTCGGTACCCCCCCGAACTGAACACAAAAAGGTCATCCGTTCAAACCTCAACGACCCGCACTTTCTTCCAAGCCCATTTCACTGTAAATGCAATCAGACTCGCTTTCTTCTTCGCTTCACATACATGCCATTGCCAACAGATGGTGATTCACACTGGCGCACAACGCCCACTCAAAACTCAGAGATATGAAACTCAAGAACAATTCAGGCACAAACTTGCTTCAACAGGCTATGGCGCTTCAGTGCCTATACAACATAACTCTGGACATGGTCTCCAACACCACTGTTCGCACACACTCAACTCTGGATCACCCTGAATACCCCCCCCCCACACACACTCTTGCGTCTCTCTCCTATCTACAGCGGTTATGGCCGCTTAACCACTAACTATGGCAACCCTAACTTCTTCCAGCCCTCTTCGACCTCGGGCGCTCTGCAGACCACCTCGCACAAGTCGCTTGCGACAGCGCTTCCGCATGGCTTACGCAGCGACTGAATGAATCCCTGAACGCTGCCTCTTGATTTATACTTCTGTTGGTCGCTGGTCCGCCCCTTTCCTCTGGGCCCTCGGTGCACACAGTCCCACACGGTACTTGCTTGACTGGACTGCGACTGACTGGACCGGTACCGCTGACTGCATGGCTTTGCACTGCCGACTCGATGCAGTCGCACTGCCTACGCGACGCAGCTGGACCTACGACTTACCTACAGACCTCTGGCCTAGCAGTTTCGACCTCTACACATCTGTAACTCCTACTTGACAGATCTACAGATCGAACCCCTACAACTACAGGGACCTATGACAAGGTACAGTCACTACTAAAACACAGGTCGCGGGTTCAAAACGCACAGGGGTCTACTCGATACTGTACAGGTGAGGTCTAGGGATCGAACCCTGGGATCTGCATCTGCTTCTGCAAAGCTGAAAACCGTTTCAGTAAACCCCATCCGGGTATGTTTGGGAGCATCCCATCGAACCCTGGGATCTGCATCTGCTTCTGCAAAGGTGAAAACCGTTTCAGTAAACCCCATCCGGGTATGTTTGGGAGCATCCCCTTTACAAAATCTTCCTCCCCCCCCCCCCCCCCCTCTCTCTCTCTCTCTCTCTCTCTCTCTCTCTCTCTCTCTCTCTCTCTCTCTCTCTCTC